TAAACCAGATAAATCAATTAACTGTTTTATCACAACTAAGATCAAATCATTTATATTGTAAGGAAAATTAGTAAATTTGATTTACTTTTTTTGAAAATATAAATGAAGAAAACAATCAAAGCTTACTAGTAGCTAAACGATCTACACTCAATCCAACAACTTCTGAAACACAATTAAATCCAGCACGTGTCAGTCCATGTAATATAGCTGGAGGTAATGGTAAAGAGATAAGTTCACGGAATCCCGGATCAGATAACATTCATGGAAAAAACAACTTTTTTCTAAACAAATAAATTAATTAAAAATTACTATTAAACAATACGAATACAATAGAAACGTGTGTAGTAAAATAAAACAATATTCAGTAGTAGGAATATATTACTAAAAAGTACAGTTTGTAAGAAAGAATACATATATGATAGATCTAAATGACACTGAAAAGTAAACTCCATAATTTAGAGCCTTAGGCAAATAGTCATAATTATGAGTTCTACATAAATATGATAGATATCTGCTGCTTAGAAGGATGATACAGTTTATGATAGGATTCAAACGTCCATCTGAGGTTTTTGATGTATCGGAAGACAGTGACGGCTTCATGACTGAATCACGCAGCTTAGAGGTAATTTTAACTATATATATACATGATCACACCCATAAGTGTTATCGGTTTATCTGAATAGAAGTTATTCTGATGTTTTCAAAAACACTATTTTAACTAATCACTGAATATAACACATGATTATAATGTTTTTCCCTTGTTTATTATTGTGGTTTGTGCAAATTTGTGTAGATTATTGAATTTTATAGTCGACACCACGAACTGACAGGAGTTAGACAACCACTGAAAACTGAAAAGCATTAAGCGGCTGTTTCATTCTATCATGGGACTCCTCAGCAATGTTCATTCACGACCTCACCGACAATACAGCTCAAAACGTTCAGATCTCGCGACGAGTGCCCAAAATTTAGACCACTGACTGGGCATCCAATGGTTTAGGTTTTTAACTCTAATCAACTCACATTACTGTGTAATCATCATCTTCCACTCCCAGTGGTGAGTAGTTATTTTACACTCTATATGACTGAACTCCATTCATCGTTGAGGAGTCATATACCAAGATGTCCAGAGTTTCCTGGTTTTCACTGTTTCTCTAGTTAATACCAATCGATGATGTGAACCATTAGTTCATTTATTTTCTTGATATCTACGTAGCCCCAACTCTATTTGCCTATTGACGTAACCATTGCCTACGGAATATAATATACGAGAACGATTTCCCAAAACAAATATTGGATTACATTGAAATCTCGACAATAAATAAACGTGATATTTGTCCATTAATACTTCTAAACAAAAAGCATAATAAATGAAAGTCAAATTATCTTGTAATTTGAACTCTCTTATTGTATGCATCACTGAAATGAATATACATATACATGAATATAAATATAACATTTCTGTAATAACAATTGGTGATATTTCTTGACCAGCGTTTAATCGGAGGTGGTAATCACACCCTAGATATGAAAATACAATAGGAAAAAAAGAAAACAATAAATAAATATGATTCTCCCAACAACAATATTGGGATTAACCTAACCATTATATAATCCTACATTAATATATACTTACATAAATACGTAAGTCATGAAACATGTACATACACGTATAGAATTACAGAATTCAATAATATGAATAATTTCACAAGTTGAAATCATGAGTCGATTGAAGCTAGATCACCATGGAAAACCTGGAAGCACTGGACGGCCGTTTCGTCCCAGTATGGGACTCCTCAGCATCCAACGGTGTTAATGTCTAACTCAGTGGTCTAATGGTTAAGTCCTCGCGCGCTGAACCAGTAGGTTCTGGGTTCGAATCCCGTGAGGTGCGGGGCCGTGGATGCGCACTGCTGAAGAGTTCCATACTGGGACGAAACGGTCGTCCAGTGCTTCCAGGTTTTCCATGGTGGTCTAGCTTCAATTGACTCAGGATTTCAACAAGTGAAATTTCTAAAAATCTCCACAAAACCCGTTCTGATAATAATATGAATAATTATAATCATAGTAGTAATAATAATTTATGATAATAAATTCATGAAATTGTAAATAATAATTAATAGTTGTTAATATTTATTTTCACAATCTAATTTATTAAACCGATTAACACAAATTAACAAAGAAAACAAAACAATATAATGGAAAATAATAAAAATTGAATAGTTAAAAGTAGTAACAATGATAAATTTATAATTATTATCTATTACTTAGTTAATTAATTTAGTCCACAGGTTTATATTAACACATTATTCAAAAAATGAAGAATATTTGAACGAACAATTGTTTTTCAATAACTTCATCATCAGGCTTTACAGTTATAAGTCTATCATTATTGTGATATTTTACAAAGGCCAAAAAAAGGCATGTATTTATCAATTTGATAATGTTATATGTTAACACATTATTATGAAATGTTTATTTTTTTTGTTTTAATTGGGTTTTTCTTTTTAAATAAAATACACTGGCAAAATAATCAGCCAACATGGTTACATCAGGAAAATTTTTTTTGCAAATTTGATTTGACAGTAGAGTAAGAAATAGACAAAAGTCATTAACATTTAGGTTTAAAACTATTTAATTTTATTGTACATTTTAGACTTTATGAACCTTGTTTTGTTTGCAATTTAAAAACAACACAAAATCTTATTCTATTCTGTGCTTCTTTAAGTTTTAGGTCGTACATTATTTTAAATAATAAGTGATTACTAGTGAATAATTAATGTCTTGTTTTAATTCTTTTAGCTACTGAGATACTTATGGACTTCCAGAAGTCACATAACTTGTTGATATCTATTCGATAGTACACAACTAAACGTAATGGAAATATGTTAATATGTAAGCAGATAGCAAAAAGGAACACTGTATTACAATAAACTGCAAACTTGAAACGAAATTATTGGTTTCTAAATGCTAATTCCTTGTTAAAACATTGATACATTAAACATACGGCTACGGAGCGAGATATGCCACGATAGCTCTAACAACAACTACTATACCGTACACAACAACATTTTCCATGTTCTAGCCACTCAAAAAGACAAATAATGTTAAGATTTATTAGAAGAGATCACGGTAGATTAAGATTTACAACCAATTTAATTCAGTTATGTATCAATTCATTAATCTTTGATTACTGAGCATTATTGATGAAATAGTTAACGCTGGACACAAAACTATAGTGAGGTAATCAATACACGGGAAATGCACTGAAAATGAAATAACCAATGACAATTTAAGTACACTAAAATGTTAATGAATAGGGTTTACTCTGAATAATACAACGAAACTTAATGAAAATCACTATATGAAAAACTAAGACTTTATTTTCCATATGATGTATTTAGAAACATAGCACCCACAATATAACAGATGTGTCACTAACAAATAAACAGATCATATTGACATAGTGAGTAAAAATGGTATGCAACAATACACCAAAGTTCCAGCATTCATGCAAGAGATTTGAAAGTAATGTTTAGTCAACCAGCGCTCACCTCACTGATTTTCTCATTCAAACATTTTTCCCATCACTCGTTCCGAATATATATATTTTCATGTACTTGCTCAAATGAACTGACTGACAGATGTGAGTACTTGAAGTGTTTAATTCTCACAATTGGTCTAATTTCTGTCACAAACTAATTTCAAACTATCTGCTACAACTAAGCACTAAAAATAGCACAAACTCGTACACCTGATGGTGTTTGTGTTCGACGTTTAGTTAAAACATGGTGCAATCAATGCAAAAATCCAACAATGCCTGTTTAGGATTGGAGAAGATAATTCTGTCATCATAATGAGAAAATGACATTTTTCGACTGAATAAAATCCAATTCATTTACATTCTTAAGTGAAATAAATCTTTTTAACAAGTACTATTCTTGTTAATTTATTTGACTTTACCTCTTCTATATCTCGAACAACATATTCATTCCATTTTTCGTAATAATTTATTGGATCTACTGTATAAAACACGCGTTATAAATGAATGCACAGATTAAGTAGTCTGTAAAAAGCCTATTATCACCAGAAGTGCGTGATTTTCTAGCACACATTGATTTATATATCCTTCGTTTGAAGAAAGAATTGTTGCTCATTTGTAAATTTGGTAACTCATTAAATCAACCTCGTATTTTCACAAAGCATTACAACAGTTATAAAATTCTAAAACTTAAGGATGAACTGTCTACAAAAAATGGTATCAACAAAATGACATATGAACTGTTTAGAATACAATTATATAATTTTGTTTGGATTCTTTCAGTACCTCACTTAATAGTACTGTGCTTGCCACCTTTTTAACATTATCTAGTGGTAACATATATAGTAGGTACATACAGACGTAAACACACACTGAACACATAGAGGACAACTTATATCTTCCATTTCATCGCCATCACCATATCTTTTATCAACAAACTGAGGATAATTAGGAAAATGAGTGAAGTAGAAAATAAGATGTATATTATTCTGATTATTATTACGAATAATAACAATAACTATAGTGTTGTATTAGAAAATATTCAATTATTAAAATTGACAAATAGATAAAGTGAAATCATACCTGCATTTAAGAATATGAAAGACTACAAGAGAAATGATATGATTAACATATTAATTAGTTTTTTTTTGAGCGAAAGATAAACACTGATTTTATTTCGTATTTTCAACATAAAGACTGTGCATACACACTGCTAAGAAGAAAACCACTGAAGATAAAATGAATCAGTATTATGTTTCATTTTTGAAAGGAATAAAGTGTAGGTGAGTGCGAGAGAAGACCGATTGCACAAAAATAGAAAATAAAAATATAAATGGAAATAACATTTCACGAACACTATACTCGGTCTCTAAAATGACGACGATAAAATGAGGATACTAAATACTAAAATAAAAAGAAAAAATCGATAACCAGTCAAACAATTCTCGTCTCTTTGAAATTAAACTAAAACCAAGTCATTGCATGATTCCCTTTGATAATAACTGCGAACAAGTGGTGTCAGTGTAGTTATCCAAAACTTTTTATCCTGCAGACTAGATGCTTTAAACAGAAACTCTCTAGATATTGTTTTTCGAGATTTTCGTAACAACGATGAAGTCCTACTACTAATCAATGATGACGAAAAAAACCATGTTGTTTCACGAGATGTTCTTGATATAATCTTTTCGTGTGAATGTAATAAATCGGATTGTTTGGTTGAAGTTCTTCCAGATTTTCGTTTTACACTATGTTCATAAGGAGAGAGTTTGAATAAATTTCGATCTGAAAAAAAATATTATATATATACATATATATTGTATAACCATTAAGTTATTATAAACAAAAACTATGAAAAAAACTTAAATGAACACTAAACAGTTATCACGAACTAGATCAAAAGTTTAATTATCAGCTAAAGGTATAGATAATAAGTTGCTCTGAAGTAGACCGATAGGTATATTAATTTCCTTTGGGAGAAAACTCTTGAATGTTCAGAAATGTAGTAGTAAATAAGCTGGGTTTTTTTACAATCTAACTACTAACCCATATACATGAATATTGAGTGACGCCATCGAAAAAAATTAGCGTGAGTGGAACAACCATCAACGATATCAAGTATGTATCATGGAAAACTACAAACTACGAAAATATGAGGAAAAAAAGTATACGTTATTGGTTTCTAAGATATTTGGTCAGGAAGAAATTAGACGGTTTAACAAATACTGTTTAAATATATATTGATTAGTATTAGCGAACTGTCTAATAAGTACACGAGCTATGTTACTGCGGATTTCGGTGAAACTTAAGTGACAAGAAATTTATGAAATGTTGCGGCTATTCACAAGGATAAAATCATTGAAGTACGAAGCTCCTTTAATTTGGATCAAGCATTTTTGTAAGGGATCTAAAGAGCTCAGAAATGACTTACAGTCAAAACAGCTGTCGACCAACCATGTTGATGAGAATACTGAACATGTACAATCTGTTATTCCTTCTAATAAGCCTGATTATTAACGAACTGACATTGAGAATTTCGTCAGTACACGCGATTCTAATACAACGTGAAAGGATTATGAGATTGAACAGCCTAACTCCTGTGTGTCTTTTAAACAATGGAAACGAAAATGGGACAAATATATTGCCAAAAATATTTTAAAGGGGATAATATTACTATATATCAAGTTTTTTTCAAATAAGGAATTTATGACAATTTTGTGGAATTATCGTACAGAATAGTATACATGTTCAATTCAAAATAACTACAGAAATATTTCAGACGAACTGAACATTTGCAGCCAACATAAAAAAGTTCTTCATTTCCTGAAATGTTCAACATCAATTTGTTGCTTACTGAATACATTGTTATTATCCAAATTTGTTAAGTAAAAACAGCTTGATTCAATCCATAAGAATTACACCACTGATCTGATGGTAAATAGTAGTTTCAGGTGATTTAAAATGAAGTAAATAAGGATCTTTCTATTCAGAATATTATGATTACAAATTATGAATTTAGATTACATAGTTAGAATGATTGACTACCTATTAGTCGATTTGATTCTAGTCCTTTTTATTCAACATTATGCTGTTAGCAGTTAGAGTATAGCAAAACAAGAAACAAACTACGAAAATAAAAAAACTCACGAGCTTTTTCTGTGGAAAAAGGAAATTTCAATATAGTTGAAGGAATACTATCATCACTTATATCTTCCAAAACATAATCTTTTAATATTAAAGGCGGATAGCAAATACGAAATCGTTCAAGACTGACAGTTTCATCGGCTGGTGTGAAAGACGTTGTTTCTGTAGGTCTGGAAATGTCCAACTTTGTCGACGATGATGTCATAATTGAAGATAAACGTCGAAATAATCGTGCATACTTGGAAGGTCGATTTCCTGAGTTAAAAGATATATGGGTAGCATTTCCCGAATCAGATGGTGAACGAGTCCTTAAAATGGATAACAAAGACCATCGGTGACTATAAACTCGTGTACTCGCAGAGCATATTATAGACGGTAGTGGAGAGACAAGTGAAGTTGGTGAGTTTTTAGATGAAGTAGTAATATGCGGCTTGGTGATTTGACGTGATAATTTGCCATAATAGCAACGTGGTATTAAGCGACTATTATTATCGGGTTCAGAACTTATTGTTATAAGCATTAATTGAGGAAAAACAAAAACGGTTACCTGAAATATAAAGATTTCAATAAATTAATATGAGAAAGTTTTAAAAGTACTTCAGAGTATTTTGATGATGAACATTGTTAAAATTATAATGATAGCGATCGAGACCGGTATAAGTTAACAGATCGCAAATAAAAGGTAGGAGAAATTATGTAGTTTTATATATATACATATATATATATATATATATATATATATATATATATATATATATATATATATATATATATATATACTATATATATATATATATATATATATAACTGGAAACCATTTTAGGTGGATTGCCTGACGTACTTATTTTCCGAGACATTAAACAATTTTTAAACATGTTACAAAACAGCGTTTCAATCGAAGCTTATTATTTACAAACAGTCATTAAATTATGTTTCAAAAAATGCAATAAAGCAGGATCGACTAATAATGAACTGTTCCGATAATGAATAATTAGCATGAATTTTAATGATACACCTGATGTCAGCTAGTTTATGTTGAAGCACCAAATAATGAGTTCTCGGTTAAGGATGTAAATACCAGACTAAGAGGATCTGATTAATATGATTATCATATTGAAGACAGATTACAACACATTCAATTAGCTAATGACTTGGTTTTGAATGTTTAGTCTTTCATAGTATCATTGGTACAATAATAATTTCGACTTCTTTGATACTTATTATGTTGATTTTATCTCGTGTTGAAGTAATATGGCAACTTGGACCAAAACATATTTGCACCAGGCGCCACGTTTATTATGACTGAGTGAGAGTTAAAAACTTAAGTTTCAAAAAAGCCACTGACAAGAAATAAAAGCCATCAAATGTTATTACAATGATGAGCATATATATTGGGAAATTTGTGAACGGCTGCGCTAAATGTCAACAAGCAACAAAACTCAACAGACCGGTGCCCCTAGTTTTACGGCAACTACTCGGAGACCCATAGTCCAGAATCCACATAAACTTCCCAGGACCAGTCAGTGACATCGCATATTTGGCATTCGTCGACACATTTTCAAAATGGCAAGAGATTCTTCGAGTGGTTCTACTTACAACAACAGAAACCCTCCAGATACTGCCAGAGATCTTTTCTCGCAACGAAGTTCCAGATATCAGTGTCAGAAAATCAATAACAATTTACTTTAGAACATTTCCAAAAGTTCTGATACCGTAAACCCACCAAACATTCACTCACTACCATACCATCCCTATTCAAATGGACAAGCAGAGCGGTTTATTGACACTTTCAAAAGAGCATTGCTAAAATCAAACAGAAAACGGAACCCATCGATAAATTGCACAATCTTATGTTATTGTATAGAACTATACCAAACGAAGCTTAGCGAATCGGAAATCTTCAGCTGAAGTCTTCGAGGGCCACAGATTTATAACAACTCACCACCTGATGTTACCAAATAGGATTACTTGTAATAAAAAAAAATCAATACCAGTGAAAATATCAGCATTTGAAATCAGAGCTCCTGTGTTCGTCCGGGATAACAGAAAGAGACACGACACGATAGAGGGAAGTGTGAAACGAAGGCTGGGTCAGGTAATGTATGGGGTAGTTGGAGAAGACAAATGGATATATCTTAATCCATTATGAAAACGGGTATTATAGGAGCATATAAAAACAAGCAACTTGCCCCTGGAAACACCAATTTATTTATTTGAACACATAAATATTGGTACAAGAGGGCACCAAATATATATGCGCTACATAAAACAGTGAGAATGGGAAGAGAAAAAAAAAGGAAGGTGAGGAGCGTAAAACAAGAAAAAGAACTACAACGGCCAGATTAGTGTAAGGTAGTGTGTAATAATAATAACAATAATGGGGGAGATGGGAAGGAACAATCAGAAGAAATCTTTCAGTTAAGAATGATACAACCACTGTTTATGAAGAAATTAAAAGAAGGTTACAGCAGGATCGCCACTGGCTTCTATTCTGAACCATATCTGATAACGTCTCTAGCCACTGTGTCACACCATCTCTTGGACCCCAGCCAGAGAGTCGTGAAGGACCAACACAAGCCAGTCCTTTGCAGCTTTCTTTCATACCACGACACCATGTCATGCACTGACCACCTCCCCGCTTCTTCCAACCAGTCCCAGAGTCGGCAAATAATGCGCGACGTGGAATTCTCTGGGACGACATTCGTAGAACATGTCCAAGCCACCGAAGTCGGTGTTTCAAGATGGTGACACCAATTGCATTATCATCTCTGTGCCCGAACACACGATGCCGAACCTCTGCATTACTAACATGGTGTTGCCACTGGATGTCAGTAATCCTTCGGAGACAGCGATGATCGAACACAGAGAGTCGTCTAACGTCCTCAACTCGGAGAGACCAGGTTTCACAAGCATAGAGTAAAACTGCTCTCACCGACGCGTTGTAGATCCGACTTTTTACAGCCAGACTAACATCACGAAGGCGTCAAAGATGGTCCAGACTGGCATAAGCCGCTCTGGCTTTCACCATATGTGCATTGATCTCATCACTCACGCCACCACCAGCACTTATGCAGCTACCAAGATACACGAACTTCTCAACTACTTCTATCTGCTCACCATCCAGAGTGAGTACAGAATAAGAATCCTGCCAGTCTTGTAGAAGTACTTTGCATTTCGAAGGTGTAAAGCACATACCATGCCTACGGACACTGATTGCCAACTGATTAAGTGCGGATTGCATGTCTTGGGCATTATCTCACAGTAAGACAATATCATCCGCATACTCAAGGTCGAGAAGTCTTTCTCCAGGCAACAGATCCACACCACCATTACTTACATTCATCAGAGCTGTTTCCAGAATGTCGTCGATGGCAAAGGTGAAGAGGAATGGTGAGATTGGGCAACCCTGCCTAAACCCATTGCTCGGATGGAACAATGGAGAGAGGTGGTTGTATGCCCTCACTCTGCCTGAGGTGTTTGTATATAGTGCTTTTAGGATGTTAATAAACTTCACAGGCACACTCTTCTTTAATAGACAATCCCAGAGAACAGTCCTATCCAACGAATCGAAGGCAGCCCTGATGTCAAGAAACACTACGATTGTTGGCCTGTGATAAGTATGGCGGTGTTCTAACATTTGGCGGAGGGTGAAGATATGATCAATACATCCTCGAACGGAACGAAAACCAGCCCACTCCTCGCGTTTTGAACAACCTACGAAGTATGACGGAAGCCAATAGCTTGGACGCAATCGGAAGTAGACTTATCCCTGATAGTTGTGACAGGAACGACGTGAACACTTTTTAAAGATAGGGACAACTATCGACTCATTCCATGACGTTGGTACACTCTCAAGTTTTCAGACCTTTGTAAACACAGTCAGTTCCTTAGCCAGAAAGTCACCACCATCTTTAAAAAGAGCCAGGGGTAAGTCATCTGGGCCTGGTGATCTGTAGCGCTTCAAGAGTTGGAGTTCCTTGCGGACTTCCGCCTCATTTGGTGGATCAGTCGTCACCGGCCATGGAGGGCAGGACAGTCCGACCGATGTTGCCCATCGTCCAAGACGTTGATGGATGTTAGTGATTGGCATCCCGTCAACCTCACAGATTGTTTCGCTCACACCAGACTTCTTGCTGCCAGTGGCTCGGATGAGTCGGAAGAGCTCCTGGTAGTTATCAGATGCAGCTGCTGCTTCCAGCTCATAAGCACGCTCCGACCACCAGGCTTTTTAGTCCTTACGCAAGCTTTGCCCAAGTTCATTACGTAACAGCCTTCGTTTGTAGTCAAACTCACGGTCACCCGGAGTAGACCGACGGGCTTCAACGACTTGTAAGGAGACTGAAGAAACCCAGTGCTTACAAACGGGACGTTTCGCGAAGCTGCAAGCGTCTTTATTCGCCATTTTCATGACGTTATGAAGTTGCAACCAATGCTCATCTATACTTTTCGGTGGAATGGTGGCTAGCCTCGAAGCTAGCTCGGTTCGATACGTAGTTGCAACAGAAGTTGCGACCAACTTGCTGACATCAATCCTTTAGTGACGATCACTTCGTTGGCCACTGAAAAGTAAGGTAAGATTGGCTCAGACCAGGGCATGATCAGAGTCCAGATAGGTACTCCAAAAGGAGCGGCAGTCTTGCATCCGGGCTACAATCAGTCGGGGCATAGGCGGAGATGACGAAAAGACATCGTTTCTCACGCCGATTTCTTCTCACTTTGATGGAACTTTCTAATCTAACAGCACATAACCGACTGTTAATGGGGATCCAATCGATTAGTGCTGCCTCAGCCCTAGCGCTTAGTGAGACACCAACGCCAGCAAGACCAGACGAAGATGCCACAGGGTCCCCGGATAAACGTACGTAAAACAAGCTTTTTGAAGCGACAGGTGGAGAGCGGACTTGTAGTACTTCACCAGTCTTGAATACGGGTCTCGGATAGACAACAAAACATCGATATTAAGACTTTCCAAAGACATAGTCAGCCCTATCTGTTGTCCGACCTGCATAAGTGTGCGAACGTTGAAGGCAGCCAGTTTGAATGGTGCACGTGGTTTCAGAAAAACTGCTTCAGTACTCATATTCGGTGGTAACATACAATTTTCAACTGGACAGTGACTCGAGAACGTTTAGATAGAACCGAATTTCCACCATAAGCGAGCTGCTGTTTAAGTCGAGAAATAAGGATACACAAAGTGGGAATAAAAGAGAGTGAATAAGTGACGTAGTATATAATAATGTGAATTGCTTAACTGTTAATCGAAGCGTGAATAGGATTTTCAGTAAATATAGTCATTTTCATTTTATTTGTGTGTGAGCTGTGATACTGCCCGGGTGCCCAAATCGAAGCAGGTGGTTTTCTTAGGGGCCACACCCCGAGCCTTTGACCTAAAGGTCTAATCCACAAGGCAGTGGAGCATCGTAAGGAGATTCAGTACCATGGTAGCCCGTGACCGAAAATTGGTTCATACGCCATTTGTTCCAGCAGGATACTGGAGCCCATGTGCACCATTGGTTTGGGATCCAGTTAAAGCGCCGGACATTCGCTTTTCGTCCTCTCATTTTCGTAAACAACACCCCCGCCACGAGAAGGCAGTGAGTAGGACTCCCCTGGCAAAGGCTGTATACACGTGGCCATGTGAGAGTATTTAGAGAGGGAGGGCAGGCCCGCCCCACTCTCGGCTATAACAGGGCGTCTGGGGGCGGAATCACCAGTAGGTGCTTTCAATTTACCGAAGCTACTGAACGATTCCAGAAGAAAAAAAGATAGTACCTCCAGAACAGGTAGACCTACGTCCCAGGAGATAGCTGACAAGACAACAGTGGCAGACGGTTCAGTTCCAAGTTAACCCAAGAGAATCACGCTATTAAAAGAGGTGTTGACGATATGCAGTCTCAAATTACAACCTATGAGAATTACATCAATATCAATTAGGTTGAAATTCTGTTACAATAAATTATTCGGTGTGAACACTTCAACGGCAAAACTGGTGTTTTTACTCTAGTGAGGCAGAAAAATATGATAGGGTTAGTTCACTTCACAACATTGAAATCGAAGTAGCGAAATTATTAGCATAGTGCACGAACTTATTACTATTCGTGCCCGTTAGTAAGTTACTTACTTTTGTTCTTTTTTGAAACAGTTTACCAATCTTAGCAATTCCTATCACCGATGATATATTTGAGCACCATAAATGATAAATTTACAATAATAATATAAATATGAATGGTAATACTACAAGACGAATATATGTTTTGTAACAATCGAAAATGAAATTTGAGTAATAAAACCCCTTAAATAAAAATAACATCCTCAATAGTGAAGGGGAACAACTGAATAAAATGTTTTCTTTAATTTTTAACAATTTCAAAAGAAAGAATAAAGATAATAATTAAGAAAAAGACCTGCACCTTTTACAGAAGCAAAATGTAATATCTACATACACATGCTTTTATTTCAAGATTGATAAAATCCAAAACCATAAAATATGATGATAAATCGAAAAAGATATGTAATTTATTAAAAGTATGTTTTGATTTGATTAGGAAACAAGATTGAAGTTATTTGGCTGCTTGAAAATTAAAGTTTGAAAATAAAATCTGAATACTTAATTCAACTGAAATATGAATGAGATTAACAATAATTCTTTCTATCCACAAAAAATATTTTACTGATCGGTGGTAACGAGTAATGAACAGGTTTTGTTAACTCAACTACTTAACTGAAAACAATCATATCGAAAAACATCCAGTACCAGAGTAGTCACGAATGCTGTAGATACCATTAAACCACTAAGATTAGAAAATCCAAGATAAAGTTTTGATTTTATGCTAATTCCCATTTAATAGTTGAATTCATGAGTCGATTAGAGCTACACCACAATGGAAAACCTGGAAGCACTGGACTGCCATTTCGCCCTATTATGGGACTCCTCAGCAGTGCGCATCCACGACCTCGCTCGCGTGATTCAAGCCCGGGGTCTGCCAGTCTCGCGCACGAGCGCTTAACCTGTAGACCAATTAGCCAGCATCCAACGGTGTTAATGTCCACCCTCAACCAGCCCACGATATTGCGCCACCGTCCACCATCGCCTTCAGAGAATAACTGCCTCACAACAGGCACAGTTGAATTCCACCTACCCAACTTACCCAAGTAGGATCACAACAACAGAATGAAGGGAAAAACGATTTCGAACCTCCAATGACGACAGAGAATGAAATCAAAGTGCAGATTACAGGCATGAAAAAATGAAACGATTACATAAAGGTGTAACATTATTTCTTCAAATCCATTTCACCTCATTGTTCACCTATGAAAGACAATTAGCAATTCTAGTGATTTCCACGTCAAATATTATGTTCAAATCATCAAAGTATGTGTCGTATGACGACGAGATGAACCTAACAAAAGTTACTTTTCTTAAGTGCAATTGGATCATTACATGTTTGAATGCATTTCATTTATGAAGCACTTTTCTGCACTTGACTTTAAGCTACATATTTTTGAGTGACAAGTGATGACAATAAACGGTTTTGTATACTGAAATAAGTAGAACCGGTTTCTAACCTGACACTCGGTTGTTGACAGTCGAATATTATAATCCCCAATCTACGGATCTCAGAGTATTTAGTACTTATTATTTCAAACAAGCCATACTGTTTCATCTGTTGGATCTTTACGAAACTTAATTCCTAGTCTACCTCATTCACGAACGCTTCGAGTAGTCAAGTTAAATAATGAGTGAGATGACGAAATAATAATGACGATAAAGTAGATAGTAATGCAGACATTCCAATAATTACAAAAACCAACACAATTAACAACTTCATGTGACAGAAACTACATATTACCTCCAAACTGCTTAGTTCAATCAAGGCTATTAAGTGTAAAAGCATTTTCATTGCATTCGGCATCTGATAAGTAATGTCTAAGCCCTTTAATGTCAATAACATGAATATCATGAAATTTAGCCACAACTCACTAAAGACCCTTAAAACGTCAGTACTAATGATTCATATAGACAAAAAAGAACTGCTCATTTGTTAAAATATAAACTGTATTTTATCAAAATGTTATGGGGAAATAAGAAAAATCCATGACATATGTAACCACGGTTAAAGAAAAGACAATGTTATTTTTTGAAAATGTCCAACTAAAATTTAATAATCTAGTGATCGCTTTTTCCATAGATTTCAACAAATATGATATTTATTTCAATCTAATTGAGGTATCCAGTTCATAAAGCGAAAATAGTTATAAATGTACGCATCACTTACTTCCCCAATATCAGTATGCAGATTGCCTTTCAATAACAGTGATTTCTGATGACATACCATATCTTTGTACTGTAACTGTGTTAAATAAAAACATTTGGTAATACAAAGTTTAGTGGCATTTATACAGAGACGGGAAGAAAAATGAATTTATCAATTACATCATTATCTTGATAAGAGGTTACAAAGTTTTATGAGATTAATGTGTTGACACAGTTGTAAACAGTGACGTAAGATATGGAAATTCAACCATCTAAACAAATTCCTCTGTACTAATATTAATCAAGTACTTACTGTTTATTAATTTTTAAAGGAAATTTCAAGAGATCAGGTGAAAAGCTAGACATGTACAACACTAAAGGTCAGGTCAAAAGTCTAAAGCTTCAGGGTTCGCTGAGATATCTGGAGCTCCTGAGTTCTATCCCTGTTGGGTTGTAGGTGCAAACTTCTGAGGAGTCCCATGATAGTACAAAACAGATGTGCAATCGGCTTTGGTTTCCAATGGTACTCTAAGATCAGTAAATGATATCAGTAATGAAAATACACTTTCATAAATACAAGCTGGGATATGCATTTTTTAACGAAATCAACATATGAACACAATAACGCCAAAAAAAAAAGTTATCTTAGTCATCAATCTTATAAGCTAAAAAGCTACTTTAATAGTATCATAGAATGAGTACTAAGACGTTCCACGTTCCTATACGACTCTGGATACCCCTATGGAGGAAAATAGGCCGCTCACCAGCATTCGCCATCCAACTCAGTTCTCTCCAATCCTTTCCAGTTGCTATTCATCCTTTTCATGTCTGCTTCCAATTCCCGGCGCAATATGTCCTTTGGTCTTCCTCTTTTTTGGTTCCTTTCAGAATTCCGAGTTGGCACTTCCCTCGTGATTCAGTTTGATGATTTCCGCACTGTATGTCCAGCATATTTTCCTAATTTCCTCTTCAGATCAAAGCTGTTTTCTCCTCTCCCACAATGGGCTGATGCTGATAGTATTCTTCCAAAGGATATTCAGTATCTTACGAAGACAACTGTTCAGAAACACTTGTACTTTTTGATGATGGTTGTGGTAGTTCTCTAAGTTTCAGCTCCGTACAGAACTGTCTTGACATTCGTATTTAAGACTGTGACTTTGATAATGGTTGACAGTTGTCTTGAGTTCCATATGTTCGTCAAATGTTGGAGTGCTTCCCTTGTTTTGCCAACAATGGTCTTTATGTCTGTATAGGATACTCCCACTTCATCGATGATGTTGTTCAGGTACGTAGAAGCTTCCACCTCTTCTAGAGTTTCTCCATCAAGTGTGATTGGATTGGTGTTCTCTCCGTTGTATTTGGGGATCTTGCTTTTTCCCTTGTATATATTGAGGCCTACTGATGCAGACTGCTGCTACACTAGTTGTCTTTATCTGCATTTGTTCGTGTGTATGGGATAGAAGAACTAAGACATCTGTCAAGTCCAACTAGCCCAGTTGCATCCAAAATGTCCATTGTATCCCGTGCTTACCCTCAGATGTCGAGGTCTTCATAATCCAGTCAACCACTGCAAGAAAGAGAAAGGGGAAGTAAGCAGCCTTGTCTGACTCCGGTCCTTACATGAAATGCAACCGTCCTCCATGCACCCTTTGCAGCGTAGCCCGTCGTGTGAATTCCGGATGATGTTGATGATTTTCTCAGGTACACCATAGTGTCGAAGGAATTTCCATAAAGTCGTCCTGTCCACACTGTCAAATGCTTTCTCATAGTCAAAGAAGTTTATGTATAGTGACGAGTTCCATCCAATTGATTTTCTAACGATCATCTGTAGTGTCGCAATTTGGTCTGTGCACGACAGATCCTTACGGGATTCGGACTGTTAATCTCGAAGCTGGGCATCTATTGAGTCTTTTATTCGGTTCAGCAACGCTCTGATGAAAACCTTTCCTGGTACTGATAGAAGTGTGATTCCTCTAGAGTTCTTACATTTGCTCAGATCCCCTTTTTGGCATTCTTCTTTCCAATTCATCGGCACTTGTTCTTCCTCCCAAATCTTCCTGAATAAAATATGAAGCGTTTTTGCAGTTCCTCCTATGTCTGATTTCAGTGCTCAAGCTAGTAGATTGTCAGGTCCTGCTGCTTTCCCACCCTTGATCTAACTGATGGCCATCCTGATTTCTTCGATCGTTGGTGGAGTGACATCTATAGGGAGGTTTGTAGGTGCCAGTGGGTTCAACAGAGCTGGCCTATTCAAGAGTTCTTCAAAGTGTTTTACCTATCTGTTCTTCTATTCTTGGACCTCAGTGATTGACTTACCTTCATTGTCCTTGACCGGTCTCTCAGGTTTACTATATTTCCCTGCTAGTTTATTCGCTGTACCATATATTTGTTTCAGATTTCATTCTCTTGCAGCTTATTCCGCCGTCGTTGCTAGTTCTCCCACGTATTTCTGCTTGTCAGCTCTAATGCTCTTCTTCACTTGCTTGTTTGCTTCTGTGTACTCAACTTGTGCCTTGACTTTCTCTGTTCAGCTGTTGTTAATTACTGTTTTTTCGCTCTTCCTTACTTGAATCTTGTCCAGAGTTCCCATAGAGATCCACTCTTTATGATAGTGCTTCTTGAAGCTCAGAACCTCGTGATATGTTGAAGTTAGTGATTTTTTGGCCCCCAAATGCCCTGGTACGGCCGAGAGTGGAGAGAGTCCGCTCTCCCTCTCGAAACGCTCTCACACGGCCACGCGTATATAGCCTCTGCCAGGGAAGTCCTACTCATTGCCTTCTCGTGGCGGGGGTGTTGTTTACGAAAATGAGAGGACGAAAAGCGAATGTCCGGCGCTTTAACTGGATCCCAAACCAATGGTGCACATGGGCTCCAGTATCCTGCTGGAACAAATGGCGTATGAACCAATTGTTGGTCACCGGCTTCCATGGGACTGCATCCCCTCACGATGCTCCACTGCCTTGTGGATCAGACCTTCAGGTCGAAGGCTCGGGGTGTGGCCCCCTAAGAAAACCACCTGCTTCGATTTGGTTACCGGGCAGTATCACAGCCCTCACACATATCGAATGAGATTTGTATGGCGCATATGTATTTGGTGCCTCCTTGTACCAATGTTTATGTGTTTAAATAAATAAATAAATAAATAGTGATTTTTTGAGCGCCTTCCAGATGCTCTACATAGTAGTTTCTTCTTTTAGTAGATCTTGTAAGGCTTGGAACCTGTTGTTGAGACCTATCTTGAATTCATTGAGTTCGTCAGTATCTCGAAGGAAAGCTATATTGAACCTTTGTAATGCTGTTTCCCCAGTTGTCCAGTACTTTTTTAGCCTCACTTTCATCTTGACAACCACAAGGTGGTGATCTGAAGTTATGTCAGCTCCTCCCTTGGTTCTCAAGTCTTCCATTGATCTTCTGCATTTTTAGTGATGTAAATACGATCTGTAGTGTAGTCTCGTGAAGCCCATGTAGCTTTATGTATACGTTTGTTGGGGAATATAGTGCTGCCTATAATAATTTTGTTGAATGCACATAAATCTGAAAACCTCCCTCAATTTTCGTTCCTTTCTCCCAGTCCATGTCGTCCCATGATATCTCCATATCCGGTGTTGTCCATTCCAACTATGGCGTTTAGGTCTCCCAAAAAGACGGTCACGTCATTTCCTTGGCAATTCTCTATGATCGACTGCAGCCTCTCATAAAACTGACATTTATCATCATCATTGCTATCATTGGTGGGTGCATAACACTGAATAACTTTCATTGTGATTCCCTCCTTATTTGTTTTGAAAGATGCTTTGATGATCCTGGGTCCATGAAATTCCCATACTATAAGTGCATTATGTGCTTCATCAGAGCAAACCCCTGAGTGTGCGAAGCATTTTCTTCTTTGTGACCAGAGTACAGCAGCATCTACAAATTTATATATTTACACCGATGCTTTACTTGTTTAAGATTACCAATTGTCAAGCCTGATGTTTTCATACTTCGGATTGACAATACTTACAAAATAGATAATATTTTGGCTTCCAGAGAAAGCAAACACTTACAACAAAACAAAAACTAACAAAAACCCTTCATTAGACAAGTAGAGGACGTACTTCTAAGTTGCCGTGGAATCCTATGCATTTTAAGTACAAATTACGCATAGCTTCACCAACTCGACGGTTTAACTCGTCAATTATAAAGGTGAAGGCAGACCGGACAACGAGTAAATGACTGAGTTCTGGATCGGTTGAAGGTGTCTGAAAAGTACATAAAAATTACTATATTACCATTATAATATGAATTCTACGATTATGCATAATAGATTTATTCAAATCCAAGCTAGGCACACAAAGAAGTCACACGTTAAAATACATAAAACCGTATATCTTGACCAGACGATAAGACAACAAAAGACAGGAAGTGAGATCACAGGTAAGAGGTTAATAATGTGTTGTATAATTGCTTAAGAGTAATACGAGGACCCTAATTTTGATCACAGTTGACATTACATAAATTCCCAAAACATTACTTTGAACGGCTTCTAAGTATTCAGTTGGAGAGACATGTATTGATAACAGCTAATCCAACACAACTAACTATAATTCACATCATGATCCCAAGTTATAAAGTGAACAACCCTAAGATTATTACAACCCGTTTAAGCGGTTACCAAACACTGACCAACACGGTAACCACAATGGTGATACAATTACAATCATATCAAACCATTACGTTATTGATTAATTTAAATATAATCTCATATTCTTCATTATTCCGAAGAAGAAACTACTTTACATCATCACTTGCAAACTTAACAATTGTTTGTGCATTATCATGGGATAAAATGTACAGGATGTTACATAAAGCAAGATATCACAATCAACGGTACTATGTTCTTCGAGCACCTTCTGTCTCGATTTCAAACCAACTAAAAAAGATCTAAAAGGAAGCAAAGAAGGAAACACTATTCTCAACAAACCCGAAGATAAAATGAAGGTAGTTACTGGTTAGATTTTCAATAACAATTTCAACAGTAAAAAATTAATTATAAACAGCGTAAAAGTATGCATACTTGACCACTACATTAGAGATCTGTTAAGTCTTAAAAGCCTTTATCCCTCAACACATTATTAGTGGTAGTCTGACGAAAGAATATCTTGGAAATCATGAACAAACAATGAAAGTATCAGGAAAACTCACCAATTCGATCAGTCGATTCAGTAATAAAGGATACCTAGTCAGTCTGCTTTTGGGACATTCTATAGAAAAGGAAGGTAGAAACAGACTCAAAATACAAAAGAATGATAATAAAAAGAGCATTTTTTACAAGAAAATAAGAGCATTAAGGCACACATTCATAATTATCTACGTACATACAACAGATGGAGACATAAAAAACAATGACAAAGTGCAAACTCGGCGAAAACAATTACGCGTAGTTTGTTGATGAGAACTAGACTAACATCTCTTTTGCTCGTTTAGCAAACACTGCAACGTTTTCATAAAACAGGATGATGACACCAAGTACAGAAAACTTGGCTTATTAGTGAAGTACGTCACGTTTTATGCAATTTAAAAAACAATTAGAAGTAAGCAAATAAATTTATATAAAGTAGAATCACCTCAAACGTGAAGTTACATAATTTTTTAGTGACAGATCTATTTCCAGAAGTTTTTCTTACTATATTCTCTAAAAAAACGAACAAAAGCCTTCAAAACCTATTGATCGTTGCATTCAAAAAGGTTTTGATAAGATATCCACCAATATCGATTAAGCATAGTCTGAAACAAGCTTAAAAGGTGAATATTTAAGACCGATCATTTGCTTACTATACTTTTAAAGAATAAGCGCGGTAAAGCCACGTGAAACTTGGTAAAAATGAGCACCAAAAATAATAGACACAATATAAATATTTGTGAGCGAGCTGGAATACCGCCCGAGCACCTAAACAGAAATTGGTAGTTTTATAGGCACCCACTCCTCAAGCACCAGGATTAAAAATCTGATCCACAAGGTGGAGAAGTAATAGTGGTAGTTACCGTCTCATGGTTTGAACACCATTCGTCCCCTTGAGATCCTGGGGCCCATGCACACCACTAGTTTGAAATAGGGGTTTTTCAACTCCCCCAAGGTGGACTCTCTGCACCTGGGATTTTGCTTTTCGTCCTTTGTGTTATGTTCTATGGCCCGTCAAACATCACGTCACAAAATCGATAATCGGAATACCGATTTCTATGGCACTGTCCTTGTGCTAAACCAGCGACACGCCAACCACCACTAGCAGTCTTCAGTCAACTCGCTTGACCCTGCTCGTTGAGTCCAGAACACAATATCTCCCTCCGCTGTATGAATCATATGCTTCAGACACACGTGGTTTATATACAAGAAGACTAGACCGCATCGCACCATCAAGTGAAAAATAATAATTATACAAGATCAAGCCAAAAGAGGTTCAGTATAAAAGATTGTGGACAACAGATCGGGAATAAATTAAGGATGGTAAATCGTACAATGGTAGCTAATGGGTCAAATGAAAGCTTATGATAAAAGGAATATGAATATATGTGTAATCTAGTTACACAATAATTATATGATAAGAATATACGTAGTAATAGTCCATAAACAATTCCTAGCAGTTACAATTCATTTATTCTTTGTTCGGACATGACACTTCATATACAGAAACATAACTCCTGTTCCGTTAAGGTAATAATAGGTAGGACTTACCTGATAGAGGTTATAAACTGCATGAGAATGGAATCTCCTCACTCTCGACACTACCAGGGTATTTGGATGCTAAATAGTAATCAGTAAAAATCATACAAATTTCCATAGTTTAACTGTCAAACCGAATGTTCCCCTCTTTCTCCAGTACCACATACATACTCCTGGTAATATATAGCTTTGTGGTCTATCAAGGTTTACGAGTACTGACTAGACATAGATACCCCACAAGTAAGATAATTATCTACTGTATTAATAATCTAAACTCCAAATTTTCATTTGGTGATAGAGAAACTACGTTATTGAGGCTACAGGATCTTGCCCCAGCATTAAACCAGCTTTAGAACTTTAATGTTCTAAGCCCCTATGTAAGAGTGAAAACTACCCAACCATATATATATATATATATATATATATATATATATATATATAACAATGATATAGTCAACCAATTGAACAATATATTAGAAATATTGATATGATAAATAGGAATAATTATCAACTATAAGAAAAAAGGCGTAGAACTTTACTCATAAAACAATCTTATACAAAAATACTACAAGAATGAATTACCCAAGAAATGCCACAAATTCAAACGTTTACTGAAATGTGTATGTGAACAACGTGAAAGAAAATCAGTAAAAGCAGGCTTTTGTTCGCGTAAAGCCTCAAAATATTTACGTGCTTCATATAAGTGGGCTGAATAATCCAAGAGAAGTTTTATTGATGAAGGCATCATCTCGATGTAACTCTCACAGATAGACTGAACATAATTCTGTGTTGGATATGGATAACATTTACGTCCATAATTAAAGTAATCAGGTTGTGGCTTTGTTATTACTTCAAGACCCAACTAATACGAGAAAATATATAGTAGAACAATAATGTCAGTTTCTACAGAATATACGATTCAAAAAACTGGGTGAGATACTTCAACATATATCATTCACCTAGCTAATGTCCTATTCTATCTAGTTCAGGATTTGTGCAAAAGTATCAGTTTGAAGCATATGCAAAGCCTATCACATCGAAATCCATTAATTACAATTATGATGATTAACAAAAGATAAGAACACCAAATAGAGCATAACATGTACAACTGTTATTCGGGAAATAGTTGTTTATGGAAAACTAAAAATAATGATTAAAAGGCAGTAATGTCCTACTCCATCAATCGACCTACAGAAAGTTCTAGAACCTCCTCTTTCTTCCAACAACTATATCTAAACATTTTAGTCCGTATTTCTTCTCTTTACGTAAGACCTATCACTGACTTAAAAATCGACCCTCCTTTTCAATAGTCATTTCGCAAACAACACTGTTTAATTAAACATGTTAGAAAAATTCTAAAATAATGACTCAAGTAAACTCTATCCTTATAGTTCAGTTAAACACAACTAAAATGCAATCCAAATCCATAAGAAAGAAACTCTTTCAGTAAAACTTGATTTTACCGTCTATTTTATACGAATTTCAAACCTAGTAACCACCAATTCATTTATAATCTTATTTTAATGATCGAAAATACTACCACTTAACTGGTATATTTTATCATTGTTAAACATATGTTGATGAAGAGCAATGAACGAAAAATAATTGTGACGAACATTTCTTTGCTCTGTTTGTCTTTTCCTAAACATTTGCATGGAATCCCTTCGATTCATATGATAATCAAAAAGGTTTGCACTTTATATTGCTTTTTTGGAATTGCTAAACAGTCATTATTTGAACAAAGAGAGTTGTGAATAATAAAACAAGTATAGGTCAAAGTTAACCTTAAGCAGATATTGAAAGTTGAAAATTTTACGACCTCAAAACAGTACGCGATATACACTAACAGCTTAGTACTTTGTGCTCTGTCATTCAGTCATCAAGAAGACTCCTAAGGTTTTCACTTTCCTCCTCTTACTGCCGAGTCTTCAAGATAAACGTTATCATGTAACTGGAAAGGAATTAAATCATACAAGACGGTAGACAAGACGTTTACAGTGAGCAATTTATAACCATACAGGAAGATCACTTCGTGATTTACGAATGCATATATTAATGGCTTACAGGTATGAAGGTTGAGAAGTAATGGATGAGGTTTTTGATCTTGCTAAAATATTCTAATTTAGACATGCTAATTGTTGTAGCCACAAATGTCCCAGTATGTGAAAGATTTAATAGGACCGATTAACCAATCATATACGCTGAAAACAAGTGGTTGATCACTGAATAACTATTCCCATAAAAATTATCGGTAGCTTCTACTGATATATAGCTTCCTAGTCAAAAGAACTAAGTACTGCCACAACGGATCTGTAGCGTATTTCTAGTAACAAGAGTAAGAGTGGTGGAAATGTTTTATTTCATATTTCCTTATAGATGTTCACAGATACCGAAGTCGAAGATATTGAGTGAATGCTTTGATTCTTACTTTAAGAAACTGCAATGAAAATTGTCAACAAACCAAAACGACTGGATAACACCTAACTTTACATAAAGTATCATCCCCTCTCCATGTTATTCACCACAAACATACAAAACTATCCTCTTCTAACATAACTGAAAGAATGAGCTAAAGTATTTTAAGATTAGCAAAGTAGGATAATAGAAGTCATAGAAAAGAATCATCTGGTATGATCGACACGTTGCTTTTATCAAAACTACAAAAACGTAATAACCTTACCCACAGATATAAGATCATTCCTATGCATGGTATGCTGAAATATTTATTCACTTCTGATGAAAGACTATTTGCTAATCCTAAAACATAAGAATCATAAGATGAAAACTGACTAACCTTCAAAAACTGGTATAATAGCTTCAATTGAATAGAACAGATTATTTATTTCTGTTGAGGTAAGTATACCCAATTTTTCTAATGGATATTTGTACACCTAGATCCAGTTGGATAAAATATGTTCAACTTCTACCTTAACGACAGTTTTCAGATCACTTACAAGTACTTCTTCACCATCATGGAACTCGGATATGATCTAATAATTGGAATACTGATTGAAAAAATTACCTGAATCCTCTCCATCTGACTTCTAGATAGAGCTAATAGGTTTGGTGTGGAACGGTGCTTAGAGGATTGAAACGGTGATTCGTGGCATGCTCCTTCAGACAGGTTCTGGTTAAGATCGAGACAACCATAGGACTGGCAAAAAGCTTCATTTTGAATGGTCATTGTTCAAAGAATAGTTTCGAAACAAGGGATTACGCTAACTTGCTGGACAGATCTAAAGTATAGCACAATTTCTTGAAGTATGTATAGCTTTGGTTTATACCTTACTTGGTCAAGACATGAATTATGTACACAGACTGGAAGGAGACAAAATACAAATGAAAAAAGAAACCATCTAAGTCGATAGCTCACAAATACGTTTTGTATAAACTCGGAGCTGTATCACCAATCACTAATAATGAATATAGAATCCAATCTCCCTGGACAAATTCGCTAAGAGACCTTAATCTGCAGTAGCCCAGGTAACAGAACAACAAAGGCAAAAAAGCAAGTATACACATAAACGTCATGACTCTAAGTGTCATTTCGATTATTAGATACAGTAAAAATTTCTGCATCCATCCCAAGGCGTTTCTATGGAAGACCCCAGTTCTATTGACCAATCTACTAAGGATGTTAAGTGTATAATACATTTCATATTTGCTTTCCAGAAGTTTGGTCTGGGCTGTGCTGACACATCCTCGTCATTGACAACTATATGGAAATAAAAGACTATAACTGCATGGTCACTTTTGCCTAAGGCTGGCATATAATGGAAGTTTGTGACATCATCCTCATGACGGGTCAATATGAGATTGAGTTAGGATGATGCTGAGTTCGGGTCTTACCTAGCTGCTTCTTTCAAATTTTACACTAGGGCACATGTGATAACCGCATCAACTAGTTCCTGCTCGGAGGAATTTTCTGACAATTCAGTTCTCAGATTTTTCCAGTCTACCGTAGGTGCATTAAAGTCTCCTAGTACTAAACATCAACCAATTTGTGACCAAGCATTGAGACCATCTAGCAAGACTTCGTTTACCTCACAGTTTGGACTGCGATAGACCATATCAATCAACAGCTCATGTCATTTGCATTACAAGCGGCAACTAACTAATCCACACGTCCCACTTTCATGGGATATGTTACCAATAACGGTAAATTGGATAGCATTTCTAATGAATAGAGCTACTCCTTCTTTACGCTTCTGGATTCTGTCGGTTCTCACTAATGCTAAACCTTCAAAATCAAGTTCCACACTGTCTATGGACTGCGTCAACCAAGTTTCTGTGACTACGATTACATCCGGCTTCGTTGAGTCTATCTCCGCCGAAGCCTCACCACTCACAAGTTTACAACTCTAAGGTCCTCGCCAGCATCTAACCCTAGTTTTAGTTCTTATGATCCTCGTCTTCCCATATGGTTCGCAAACGACAAGTGTTTATGGACAAAAACTCCTGACTCCTTTAGTTTATGTCCATTCTGTACTATACTATTTTAAACAGCCTGGTCTGATTTTGTTTCAAGCCCATTTGGCTAACTAGTCTATAAACCTATAGCAAAGTGACTCCAGAGATATTCTGAAGCATTGGTTGGTTTAGTAGCTCTTCTATCAACTCAATTTCATGCCTAAAACGAGTTCTGAGCCTTGACTCGATGGAATACAACTGACCTGTCAATATGATCAGTCTTTAATTTATCAGCTTCTCTTTTGGGGGCCGGCTCTTCTTTAGCAACATTAGGTCGTTTCTTATCCTTGATCACTACTCATCCATAAACATTCATTGTAGTAGCAATCAGTCACGTTTCACACGCTATGAGATTCTGGATGATTGTCGGTCACTTGGGTAATCAGGTTGTTGTACTTCCTGACAGAAACAGACCTGACCTTGCGACTAGGTTTTCTAGGTGTTCCCTACTCGCTGACGTTTGGAGGGCGAAAGACAGAGGGAACTTCTTTTCTTCAGCTTTTATTTCTAACAGACCTCTTTATAGATCATTGTTCGTCCATTGGCTCACGCAAGTCAGTCGACTCCGAGCATATTTAAGGCAACTTCATACCGATTTGTTTATCCACAGGGCGAGTACCACTTTATGTGTCTCAACTACACTTGCTTACACTCCTTTTAGCAGCATTCACAATTGCAGTGGCCTCGGATAGCAAGCTATTTGCATTCGAGCAGCACTGCTGACACAACCATACGCAACTATTTTTACTAAGCTGTGTGAAATTAGCAGGCATTAGATTCGTGCAACCTTCGTGGTACCATCCATTGCACTCACCGCACTGCATACCACTTTCTGCAGGGTGTCGACAACCTAGGCGTTGGCAATTGCTTTTTCGCACTGTCTAGTCAGCAATAGAGTTTTCACAAAAAAAACTAGACATAAACAATACCCAGAGACAAGAGAAACTGATGACCAAAAAAGTGAAAAACTGTGAATTGTTAGAACCAAATGTGCAAACAAATGCAAAACGTAGCAACGTACTCAAAAGTGTCGGCCATAAGTTATTTAAAAAACGATACTCCTGGAGTATACTTTAACTGAAACTAATTAAATTAAAGAGAAAACAGTAGCCTTGATGCGCAATAAACGATCAAAATAAAATTAACTCAGCGAGGGAAAATACCACTGTTCTTTTATATAGTGCGTGATATTATTAATGCAACATTAAGACAGAAAAAATCATGCTTACTGTAATCACGAAACATTAATATGTGTGAAGTGGGTAAGTTCAGAATTGGGCAGAAAATAACGACACCAACCAACGGTTTGAAAAATTGCTGGATCTTTTCCGAGCAACTAACGACTGTATGTAACAACCTTCAACACTCAATCTCACCTAATTGAATGTGCCAAATGAGATATCTTTTATTCCCCGTTTCAAGAGCTTTAAATGGTAAAGGGTAGTCTGAGACACACATTTTTGTCGTGGTGTCGAAAACGTAATGAGAATAAGTTGGACACTATTTGGATGAAAGCTTGTGAAAAATAGTCTCAAGTTGTGATATTATAGAGATTCATAAATCCCCCAGAAAAGTAGTTTTATAAGACTATGTTATTTATTTTGATCTCACTAATTTTACTGGGTGCACCCTAGCTGAAGGTGCTCGGCAACTCATCCTCACTAGGTCACCATCGGGTATGCAGTGCTACGCAACAACTAGCCAGCTTAGTTCGAAAGATGTTTTTGAACTCCTTCGACTGTACAGGCGTTACGGACGAATGAGTTGTCAAACCCTGAAAATCCATGACTTCGTGCTATACCATTTCAGATTCCTACTCTATGTTGATGAGTTTCTGAAGAGATCTAGATCGTCAACACTTACATTCCCATCATGCAGCTGTTTAGAGAATAATATCCGGTGATGTTTATGAGTTTCAGCATAATGTTAATTGTTAACTATTGAAGTGGTTGACTGGTGCTAGAAATCAATTTTAGTAGGGATGTGTTGATCCACATTAGTCATCGCGTTAATATCACAAATACATCATTAGTGATGCAGTCCTGTCACATAATTCTGAATTGTAGAGATAGACTTTACCAAGCAGGTTGTAACTGCAGTCACAGAAACTTGGCCGACTCCGTCTGTAAACAGTAGGGAACTTGATTTTCAAAGTTTCACTGGCTGTTATATCAGTTAGGTAATAATGTGGATAAAAGACTTCCTGGTTGGGCGCCAACAAAGCGTGCGGAGGAACTCAAATATGTCTAGCCGGAAAACTGTGTCGCAGGGTACAGTTTTCAGGCCAATGTTATTCCTTTTGTATGTAAACGACCTTTGTCGTCTAATATCATCATCGGCCCTGCTATATATTGACGATGTCAGGACATAAAAAGAGAGAGAGAAGAAGTAAATGTGATAGCTTATAACTCAAAATGACATGGAGAAATTATCTGAATGGCCTAAAATTTGGCAGTTGCCGGTCAATGATTTCAAGTGCATTGTGATGCATGTTGGTCATCAAAGTACATATACATACACGGTGAATAACAGTGAGCTACCTGTTTTCCAGATACAGAACGCCTTAGGAGTCATCGGCGTCGAAGACTTAAAAACTACTACACACTGCTATGAAACAGCCACCAAGGGTTTTAGAACTTTGTAATCAATACGTACGGCCTTTAGTCATGTCAACGCTAACAACTTTTTGACTTTGTATGCGGTATTCGTTCGTCCTAACCTTGAGTACTGCATACAAGCGGCTAGCCCCTGCTTAAAGTAGACAGTGAGTTTTGGTAAAGGTTCATAGGACAGCAACTAAGCTGCTTCCGGGAATAGTGAAGCTACTGTATGATGCTTGACTAGCTAGACTAAACCTATTCCCTTTGCCATATCGAAGAACTGGAGGTGACTTGACTAAAGTTTTCAACTAACTGAGTGGTAATTTGGCATCTAATATGCCCTCACTTTTCTTGTCTCTCAAAACAGTGAATGTATGTGGACGCTCCAAAAAAGTTCATAAGCATAGAACAAATTACTTGTCAGCTGACTATCGACTTGCACATCAAATCATCAGCGAATGGAATTCATACCTCAACACGTGATTACAGCCTCATCTGTCAACTCTCTAAAAAGAAAGTTAGAACAACTGAAAGAGCACGTTGCCAAGATTAACGCAGATCATTTAGCCTATCGTCCATTTCAAACTGAAACTACTCTGTGAGTATGTAGACTCACGGTCTAATTTTCTATTAGTATTAGTGACTGTCTGATCCATAAGATCTTGTGGGGATGTCACATCATCGTCTACTCTGATTCGTCGTATCGTAACAAATAAAATTGCGACGTCTGGAGATAACACATTCAGGCTAACGATAGAATATTTTAGATGTGAGTAAAGATAACTTCTACAGAATGACCACGTCCGAGAAGCTAGGCCATGCCATCCGAATTAGTTGAATTCATTCTCCCCTCATTCTCCATCGTTAGGCTTCTCTCCGCAACAAATTTGGAATACCTGTTTTACTAATTGTTTAATGTTCAGCTTTGAGGATTTTGTTTTGAGCCTGATGCCACTACAAGTCTTTAAGCGGTCTAGAAACATAAGTGAGGTAATCAGACTACATACATTTAAAGTAATCCCATTGAATTTTTTACTGTCCACTTCCTATGTAAACGTATATGTAAGTCGGATCGAAAGCATGTATGTACTTCATTTTTTCTACCGTCCCATTG